ATCAATTATTAATTATTGGCAGTTAAGTCACCTCTTCACTGCCCTGTGAGAAAGAGCTTGGCTGCAAACCTGCCTTTTTTTTTTTTTTTATAGGTTTTTGCTATAGGGCATATGCGCTTGCCAGAAAGACAGAGAGAGACAGAGAGACAGAAAGCGAGAAATTACCTCCCAAGGGGGCTGGCCATGTCACAATCCCTTCTCTTCTCAGGATCTTGAGCACGCATGTACACACGCCCAGCATGAGTTTAAGCCACCGGGTCCAGGACTTGAACTGTGGTCAACTACATGGGAGTCCAGTGACATAGCCATTATGCCAACTGCTGGTCCCACTGCAAACCTGCTTCTGCAGAGTGGGCGACTGCACCTGTACTGCGTGATTTGCAGCTCTTTTTTCTCTCTTTTTTCTTTTTTTTAAAGGTTTTTGACATAGGGTGTGTGTGCTCACCAGAGAGAGAAGGAAGATGAGAAATCACCCCAGGGGTATGGCCACGCCACAATCCCTTCTCCTCCACTCTCCTCTCAGGACTTCGGGCCTGTGCACACACATGCCCAGCATGTTTTCAAGCTGCCTGGTCTGGGACCTGCACCACGCGGCCATGTGGGATCCAACGCCTAACCACCACGCCACCTGGCTGGCCCCTGTGGTTCATTTTTGACCTTGCTTATCTTCTCTGCCCTTAATCTGTGCAGCACGAGTCTTCTGAGAAGCATCTCTTGGGCTGCCTGCTGCCTTAAAGGACAAGGCCTTGCTCCTCAGGTGTCCCCCTCAACTCCCATGATACACCCTTGAACTCTAGGGATCCCCATCATGACGTGATAACAAAAAGAGACTTCATTTTGTTCTCGTAGATCGTTATTTCCTTGTCAGAGCCACTTGAAAGGGTGTGCAGCCAGGTGCGGTTGTGTGCAGCATACTGGACTGAAGTGCTGGAAGCCACATGGCCACCACTGGTTCGGATCCCCAGGTTGGCCTGAAAACATGCTGGGCATGAGGGCCTGAGCAGCTGGAGGGCTGGGAAAGGGGGATGATGGGATCTGTGGAGGGTGCTCTCTCTCTCCTTCCCTCTCTCATGCACATACTATCATATAAATTTTAAAAAAAGGAAGAAGGGGACTAGCAGTTTAATTAACTAGCTGGTTAATCCCCAGCTAGAGACTGTGGAAGGGTTGGAGCTGGTGGGAGGAAAAGAGGGGGTTATATCTGAGGTAGATGGAAAGGTTTCAAGGTGGGGGGGGCATTTGGTGACAGGAAAGGACATTCTAGGCAGAAGAAGTCACCAGGACAAAGGTGGATGGGGGGCCTGAGAGAGGGTGCAGCATTGGAACTTCCTGTTGTCTGTTCTTGGAGGAGCTGGGGCAGGAGAGGCAGGAGGGGGCGGCAGGATGTGGAGAGGGGAGCGAGGACCTGGATGCCTTGCTGAGGAGCACAGTCTTGACCCTGGAGGCAGAAGTTTCTGAAGTGGGTTCCCCACACACCAGACCCACGGAATTCTCTGCTCTAAAAGAAGGGCGCGAGTGTGTGAGCCCCACGTGGAGACTTCCTCCTAGCTGTACTGCTATTGCAGAGCCTCGAAAACTAGCCACGGCTCAGGACGTGCTCTCACACTGCACGCACCACGGTATCCGACCCACATACAGCCCTGTGAACTAGCCCCGAAGCCCTCTGTACCCACGGGCTCTGCTTCTGTGCATCTGACGGAGCACAGACTCAGCCGGACTACCCAACTGTTATGAAATGGGGGGGGCTCCCTAAAGAAAGATGGCGGTATCTATATGTATATTTTCCTTTTTACTAATATCTGCCGCTAAAGTTACTTACATGCAATCTAGAGATTAAGTACGTGAGCAGAGGTGTACAGGTCCTATGCAAATACAATGTCATTTTTATTATAAATAATGTAAAAGGGATTTGGGCATCTTGAAGGGTCCTGGAACCAATCCCCCGCAGTTATCAAAGGATGGCTGCATTGCTTTTTGGTTGTTGTTTTAAATTTTGCTAGAAGGCACACGTGCTCACCAGAGAGATAGACAGAGACAGAGACCAAGAGAGAAGAAAGCACCCCCCCCCAACAGGGCATGGGCACGCCTGCAATCCCTCTACTCTCTCTCTCCTTCCTTTCAGGATTTTGAGCAGGCCCTCACATGTACCTGGCATGTTTCCCAAACCACAAGGGCTGGGATGCCAATCATGTGGTTGGCCATATGGGATCTGGCTGCCGTAGCCACCGGGCCGCAGAGCTGGCCCCACACAGTGTTCTGTTATCCCCATTTTACAGACGGGTTAGAGAATTTGCCCGGAGACCACACAGCTGGTCAGTGGTAGAGACGGGATTTTAACCCCGGCAGTCTGACTTCGAGATCCTAGAGTAAAGAACTGCTTTAGCTGTGCTCTGTCCATCATTTCTCACACTTGCTTTTCATGTAATTATGGGAAAATATTTGTATATCTAGTAACATTGTAAAACATAATTGATTGTGGGCCATGGTGACCCAGGAGCCTCTTATTTGAGTTCCAAATACCGTTACGCTCATCAGTCACTTACCCTTCATGGTGAATTGGCCCTTACCTGGAGTCCTTCCGTTTTCTGAGGAGCTCCCTGAGAGCCGACAGTGTCTGACTCACTACCGTGTCACCATTACTAAGGAGGGCTGGCGTGAACTGATACCACCAGGCCATTTGCTTGAGACAGGGGGAGGTTTGGAAAGAAAGCCAGGAGTCTGGGAGGTGGGTCGGAGTGTGGAGAAAGGAGTCAGAAGCAGCTGTGGGAGACATCCTGAAAGCCAGAGTTGGAGCTGGAGTAGAAAGCTACACTTACCTACTTCACGGCGCAGCTAATGCCAACCCTGGACCTTGAGTGAAACGCCAATCCAAATATCTCCCAAGTGTTTCTCTCCTAGGCTGTAACTAATCTCCTGGTTAATCAGAAAACGAGGCAGTGTTGGAGCCGAAGTGTATTCCAGGAAACTTCTGGTTTTAACTCAGGGGCAGATGGCGGCGTGGTGGTAATGCAGGGCCCGCAAGGCTAACCCACGTCAGAAGATACTGGGTTTGCGTCCAGAGATCTCCCTGGGTGTATTGGGCGTGCACATGCTCATAATCTGAGTCTGACTGAAGCCGGGGATGAGTCGCAGTGTGAAGACCCTATTGAGGGTGCTGTCTCTTTGTCTCCCTGTCTCTCCTGCACACAGGAGAAATAAATAAATGAACTTAAAAAAGAGATATTCAGAGACAAAAATTTCTCAGAATTTCATATGTACTCCGTACATCACCCCCTCAAAAGCTACTGCAAAGAGTTGAGATGGCAGAAGCTTGGCATATTGGACTGAAGTTTCTTTTCTTTTTTCTTTTTTTAAGAATTATTTTATTTAACTTTATTTATTTAATTTGACCAGAGAGGGATAAAGTGAGAGCAAGAGAGAGGGAAAGTGAGAAAGCAAACTGTCAGGTCCAGGACTCAAACCACAGTCAGCCATGTGGGAGTCCAGCGCCCTTAACCACCACGCCATCTGCCGGGCCCTGGACTGGTTTCTTAGACAGCACTAATTGTTTCTCACATTCTAATGATAAAAAGGGCAAGACTGAGGCCCAGAGAGGGCACGGTCACAGAGCAGATTCAAGTGGGACCAGAATCCGAGTGTCTCTGGCCAGGAGTTCTGCCCATGTCTTCTGGACCTATGCCCCAACTCCCTCTGCCCATGTACCCACAGTGCCCCTTTGTCAGGAGGAGGCAGCTCAGCCACATCCCAACGCCCCTCACAGGCTGCCTCCCTGCTGCCGCCTGACTGGCCTTAATGAGATTACAGATTCCTGGTGAAACAGAAGAGGGTTAATTACCCCTGGCTTTAAAGGGCAAGCCGGGCCATAAGCAACAGCAGGAAGAAAACCTTTTTCTAAAAGCACTAAGTGTGATGAGGATACTAACGGCCCTTGCTCTTCCCTGGTTAGCATGCTAGAGTTCATCCCGGCTCCCACAAGCGTTCTCAGGATAGAATTTTCCATGCTCAACAACTTAGATGCCACAATTATCCCTCTTTTACAGACTGGGGGGGACAGTGAGATGAAATGGCTTGTCCAGGGTCACTGGGACAGTAAGTGGCAGTGCCGGGACTTGAACACAAGTCTCTTGGGCTCTGTTATCTTTCAGAATAATAGACCCTGAGAACCTACAAGTGCTTGGCCTTGGAATTAAACAGCCCTGCAGAATAGCCATCATTATTCCTATTTTGCAGTGAGTGTCGTAGCCCAAGTTGCAACTTCACATGTACATTCCCCACATAACTGCCAAGTGCCCTCGAGCCCACCCATCCATTGGTGTGATGGAAACCAACCTGACGTGGGCCTGAATTCCGCTAGTGCTGAGACAGTGGCCGAGCACCTCTGGCTCCTGGGGTCTCTGGCTCTCTTTCAGTAAAACAGAGCTCAGAGCCTAGGATCAGGTACCAGCCTGATTAAAAGAGAGAAAGCACCCAGAGCAGGCTGGGACGTGGCACACGCTCGTTTCTCAACCACCGCAGTTTCTTCATCAGTAAAACGGAGGAATTAGTAGTACTTACTTCTTGGGATTGTGTTAGGAGTAAATTTGCTACTACGGGCGTGTGCTTCTAGAATTGCACTCGTGTACTGTAAATGCTTACTTAACTTTGACCATGACTGGTGTCCTTTTGTCTTGCTTTTGATTCTTTCTGGAATAAAATGGGATAAAAATCAAACTACCCAAGGCTTCTTCCTCCTGCAAGTACCTGATCCACTCCCCTGTTTAAGAGGACTGCTGGCTTTGAGGTCCAAACTCCCAGACCACATGGCCTGCTCTAATTTCCCAGCCCCTAATCTGCTCCCGGCTCCTAATGATGCGCCTGGTAATAGGATTGCGGCTTCCCTCTGGGGCGGCCACACGAGCCATGGCGTGAGGCTGGCGACGGGTGCTTAGCCATTCTGACCACCTGCCTGCTGAGAAACTAGAGCCCAGAGCAGACCCTGTGCCCAGGCTGGTCTCACATGCATGGAATGGTGCCGTGTCCCGTGCCCGCAGGCCAGGCTCACCATGGTGCTGCATGCCATCCTGGCACGAGGGAGGGACGTGTGCAGGCGGAACGGACTACTCATCCTATCTGTGCTGTCTGTCACCATCGGCTGCCTCCTCGGCTTCTTCCTAAGGACCCGGCGCCTCTCCCAACAGGTTAGCCCAGGGGTCCCGGTCTGGGAGGGCTGTGCGGGCCTGAGGGACGTGGGGGTCACATTGTCATGCCACAGCTCCCTGGGTGACAAAAGAGTGAGTCACGTGCTCCTCTGGTTCCCCGTTTTCTCATCTGTAACGTGGTTGTGATGAGTGCCTTGTAGGACTAGAGAGAGACTGAAAAAGTGGCGGGGGAAGTGATCACACACGTCCCGACAGGTGACCGAGAGGCACGGGTGCCTCCTGAGAACAGCCACAGCGCTTAGCCAAGCCAGGGTGAGGAGTGGGGTCTAAGAGCGCAGAGCAGGCACCAGAGGACACCTCCTAAAGGCAGCTCACACGGCCAGCACCAGGAAGGGTGGTCTAGGCAGAGGGAACAGGCACACGAGGCACGGGGCGGGAAGGTTTTAGGTATGTGGGGCGCACCGCCTGTGGCTGGCAGGGCTGCCACACAGGAGCCAGCAGGCACATAGGCCCCTTGCCAAGCAAGGCCTTGGACTGACCTGGGGATGCCTTTGAGCAAAAGAAGGATGCGGCCATCTCTGAGTTTCAGAGAGAGCCCTCGGGAGCTGAGTACAGGCGGAGCTGGTCATGGGGCGGGTGGGGCAGAGAGAGGGGCAGCTTTGGGGGATGGGAGGGGCAGGCATGAGAAGGGTTCCAAGGGGAACCTTCAGGACATGGGCAGCTTTGGGGGATGGGAGGGGCAGCCATGAGAAGGTTTCCAAGGGGAACCTTCAGGACATGGTGGGGTTGGGGGACAGAGGCAAGGCAGGCACGAGGTTTCAGGGTTCTCAGCCCCATTCCCTGAGGGAGAGGGAGGGGTACTTACATGGCAGTAAAGAAAACATTTATCTGACACTTGTTAGAACAAGGAAGACTTTATTCAGGACTATGGTGATAGGCGTGGAGACCTGCTGCTGGCAAAACAGCTCTGAACCCCGAAGTCAGCAAAAACAGCTGCCAGGTTACAGCCAATGAGCAGAGTGAGGGGTTGGGGTGGAAAACCACTAAGAAGAGACACCACAGAGAGGATTCTGAAGGCAGGCCAGGGTGTGCAGGTACAGAGAGTGGGGAGTGAGGAATGCTATCAGATATCGAGTATCCACGGAGGAGGGATTCTCACTAGCCCAGCTGAGGGGGGTCTGTGCTACAGCCGGACAGTAAGGGCCTGTCTAGAGTTTGGTCATGGAGAAGGCCTTTGTCAATGGGCTCGTGGAAGATTCCCTAGTCCACAAAATTCCTTTTCCTGCAGCTTGCGCATACCTCTCCTGGCTCTACAATTAGAGGTCAGGCCATCAGACTGTCTTCCACTCCCAGAAATATCCCCCCACAACCCTGGTAAGGCGCTAGCAGTTCTTTATTTGGAGAGGTTTTCGCTATAGAGCACGTGCGCTCGCCAGACAGACAGAGAGAGAGACAGAGAGACAGAAAGCGAGAAATCAGCCCCCAGGGGGTATGGTCACGCCGCAATCCCTTCTCCTCCATTCTCCTCTTGGGATCTTGGGCACGCACGCACACGCGCCCGGCGTGAGTTTTAAGCCACCGGGTCCGGGACACGAACCGCGGTCGACTATGTGGGAGTCCAGTGACATAGCCATTACGCTAACTGCTGGTTCCCGCCGCTAGCAGTTCTTTGAAGAGAAGCATGGACTCTGAGGCAAAGGAAACCTAAGTCCTGACTCTGCTAGTAAATGGTCGGGCAAAATCCTATCCCCTCCTTGGGCCTCAGTTTCCTTGTGGAGAAAGCAGACGTCCTCTAGAATTGTGAGGAGTGAACAAGGGATTCATCCGCACCCCACATGTATTGTAGTAAGAGCTTCACGACCCCCCTCTGTCTTTACCTTGGGTCCATCAAAATCCAACCTACACGAGAAACCATCTCACACCGTCCACCTCTGAGATAACCTCTCCTCCCCGCTCATGCTGTGCACATTCCTCCCGGTACCCTTGCTGCTGGCTGCCTCCCTCCAGGGCCAATCATGCAGGTTAGTTAACGTTGGCCATGCGTAATTACCGTTGGCCATTACTAGTTTCTTATTCCCTTGCTCCCACTGGAATGGGAATTGCTGAACAGCACATGGGTTTTCATGAACCAAAATGTGAGCCTAGTTCAGGCACAGGGAGAACTCTCAACGATTTACTGAATTAAACTGACCATGGCACAAGCTGCTATCTGCTCTCTTCAATTTTCCTCAGCGACAAAAATGTATTTCCCCCAGGAAGATTATTTTGTGAAAACAAATTGGAATGTCTATTATTAAAAGCCAAATTCATCTGAGGCATCCTTTGCCAAAGCTGCCTCCCCCATCTGTTTGGAAATGCAAATATATTCCGGTAGGGATTAACCTGCCAGATAAATTGAAGGAAGGATGTGGAGTCTTAGGACAATTATTTGGCAGGAATTGGCTTTCTTAGCATCTTACTTTGAAATCCAGGATTTTTCTGTTTGATCTTTTTGCCTGTGACTCAGAAGCTAAACCCTCTTCATTTCGTAAGCTTATGCAACAGGCAAAAATCATAAACAATTTGAAAAATGGTAGACTGTTCTACTTGTGAAATGAACTTACAAAATTGTAAGATTTTTTTAGCTTCAAATGTACGTATCTCATTAAAAAGTATAGATCACCTTGAGACTTCGAGTTAAACCGCAGTGAACTACTATTGCATTCATTTTCCTTTTCTTCTTGGAGATTCACTGAAATTACAATAATAAAATTTTAATTATTTATTATTTATTTTTATTTGCACTTAATGTAGAATAATTGTGCATATTTATGGGGCACAGTGTGATTTCAGTATTTGAATACAGTGTGTAATGATCAAAACAGGATCATTAGAATATCCTTCTCAAACATGTGTCATTACCTGTGTTGGGAGCATTTAAAATCCTCTCTTATAGGTTTTCTGAAATATACAATAAATGATTGCTGTCATTACCCAAGAAACAAGTAGTGAAATTTTAAAGAGATCAAACTCACCAAGAACAAAGAGAATATAAAAGGAGACAGCAGAGAAAAGAATTGGCGTGATGACAACAAATTGGGCAATACGGGAAGTGAAGTGGAGTGATCTCACTTATTAATAGTAGGGCACAGAAAACTAAAATCTGATGTTTGCAGAAGATGCCAAGGAGAACTCTCCAGAGGCCCTGGATTAGGAAGTGCAAGGTGCTGTACCAGGCAGGGATGAGGCGTGGAGCTGTAAGCAGGGACATTGGATAGAATATTGTGACCAGAACCTTAGACCCTTAGGGCCCTCCCTTCCTGTTCTCATAAGCAGGGGACTCCTCACTCACCCATCTCTGCTCCAGCCTGCCCTATGGAACCAGACACGCTTGACTTAGGGGTCTTAGGCTCACCTGTGTGTGTTGGGGATGGTGGCTGGAGGTGAGGGGCAGTGGTGAGGCACGTGTTTCAAGCTAATTAGCAGTTATCTGAGCACACAGATGTGCATTCTGAACGCACAGCTGCAAAATTGCTGTTAGTTGAGTTTAGTGCAGACCCACTGCCCTGCCAAAGAGAGAACGAGATTTCTGCAGCCTCATTAAGAAGATCTCCAAATTCTGCTACTAACCCACCCAGCCTCAGGGAAAAAGCCAGTTCATCACCATCCCCTTGTCACGGGCCACGGGTTGAAAAGCCGCACTCAGATCCAAACGCTCTCTGACTTAGCAGTTTCTGATATTAGAATGGTGCGAGACATATGTATTTCATAAAAACTGTACTTCGAATTTGGAGTTATTCAGTGTTTCCCTATAAAATAGGCTTTATGTTACATGATTTTGCCCAATGATAGGCTAATACAAGTGTTTATAGTGAGCGTGTTTAAAGCGGGCTAGGCTAAGCTACGGTGTTTGATAGCTTCCGTGTATTAATTCCATTTTCGATTGATAATATTCTCGGCTCCATCGTAAATCGAACATCTGTACACAGAAGTTCGGCACTTCACACTTACACATGAGCAGAAAGCCAAAGTCACCAGAAATTTGAGAAAGCTGCTAACATCAAAGGCAGACTAAATAAGAGAAAGCTGAAGCAGAGGCAATGCAGGGAGTAGAAGAAAACTTTCAAAATATTTTCTTAAGCTCTTTGGAGATACAGGGTATGGGGACAATCGGAGAACTTTCTTGTTTTCCAAGAAAGAGCTCTCTGAAATTAAAAATAAAAAAGCCAAGATAAAAAATATCGGTGAGGTGCTAGAACTCTCCTGGAAAGTAAAACAAAAAGAGAGGATGAGGAGCCAGCAAGAGATGTGGTAGTTAAGGCACTGGATTCCCACATAGCCAACTGTGGTTCAAGTCCTGGACGTGGCAGCTTGCTTTCTCACTCTCTCTCTCTCTTTGTTTCTCTCTTATGAGCATACATGCCTTGAAGAAAAATAAGAATAACAATAAATAAAATTAAGTAAATAATTGTTTTAAAAAGGGGATGAAAAATAGAAAAATAAAATATAAGAAAATCGTAATGTCCAATGTCCAACTATCTAATAGTTTTTAAAAGAGCTAACAGAAAAATTGGAGAAACTTTCAGGTAATATAAGAAAGTTGTTCAGAATGAAAGGTAAGCACAGCACTATAAATTAAGGAAACAGGGGCCAACAAGTGGCAAGACAGTTAAGACCCTAAGACTCCTTCATGGCCGACAACGATTCAGTTCCTGGCCCGGTGGCTTGCTTTCTCACTTTCCCTTTTTCTCTGTGTCTCTCTCTGATAGGTGAGCATACCCTAGAGCAAATTAAAATAATAATAATAAGATCTCCTTCCCCCAGCCTTCCAATTCATCAGGACTTGGGCACACATGCACCTGGTATGTTTTCAAGTTGACGGGATCTATACCCACATTGAACCATGTGACTTCCAACATGGCAGATCAGTACAGTGCTGGCTGTGCCACTGAGGTTGGGCCAGAAATGATTTCCGATCAAGAATCTTACATGTGGCCAGACTATTATCAGAGGTAAGGGTAAAATAAGGCATTTTTATGCATGTAAGGACTTAGGAAAGT